GTGTGTGTGTGTGTGTGTGTGTGTGTGTGTGTGTGTGTGTGTGTGTGACTGACCAATAAGAGTCCTGTATCCGTTATCCAGACACATCAATGGACCTCCAGAGTCGCCCTGAAAAAAACATGTTCAAACTATATTAACAAAAACAACAATAAACAATACACCAGGACCAGGAAGCAGGATCAGTAAGGTAACTTCAGAGTAGAACCGTTCAGGGAACCAGATAACCATGACTGTCTAGGTGGTGGTTCTAGGTCTAGGTTTAGGTCTAGGTGGCCCAGGTGAGTCCAGGTGGTCTAGGTTACCTGACAGGAGTCCACCCCCCCCTCCAGGTACCCGGCACACAGCATGCTGGAGGTGATGTTGTACTCAGGTAACTGAAGCTGACACTGATCCTGAACCAGCAGAGGAACCTCAGCCTCCTGGAGAACATCTAGGAGAGAACCTGAGAGAGACAGACAGGTGGAGAGGGAGAAACAGACAGGTGGAGAGATAAACAGACAGGTGGACAGGGAGACAGACAGGTGGTGAGAGAAACAGACAGGTGGAGAGAGAGACAGACAGGTGGAGAGAGAAACAGACAGGTGGAGAGGGAGACAGACAGGTGGACAGGGAGACAGACAGGTGGTGAGAGAGACAGACAGGTGGAGAGAGAAACAGACAGGTGGAGAGGGATACAGACAGGTGGAGAGAGACAGACAGGTGGAGAGAGAAACAGACAGGTGGACAGGGAGACAGACAGGTGGTGAGGGAGACAGACAGGTGGAGAGAGAAACAGACAGGTGGAGAGAGAAACAGACAGGTGGAGAGGGATACAGACAGGTGGAGAGAGAAACAGACAGGTGGAGAGGGATACAGACAGGTGGAGAGAGACAGACAGGTGGTGAGAGAAACAGACAGGTGGTGAGAGAAACAGACAGGTGGACAGGGAGACAGACAGGTGGTGAGGGAGACAGACAGGTGGAGAGAGAAACAGACAGGTGGAGAGGGATACAGACAGGTGGACAGGGAGACAGACAGGTGGACAGGGAGACAGACAGGTGGTGAGAGAAACAGACAGGTGGAGAGAGAGACAGACAGGTGGTGAGGGAGACAGACAGGTGGAGAGAGAGACAGACAGGAGAGACTGTATATGTAGTATGTAGTATTTATACTATATATAGTATAGTATGTATAGTATATATACTATATATAGTATGTATCCTGTAATTGTATTTACTGTATAGTGTGTGGAGTATCTATGGTACACATACTATATATACTCTACTACTATATAGTAGTAGATTAAAGATACTATGTGTAATATGTATAGTATATAAAGCATGTGTAGTATGTGTAGTGTATATAGTATAGAAGAGTATACATAGTGTGTATTATTTATAGTATTTTATAATAACCTTGCTCAGCGTCTCGACCCCATCCAGCGATCAAACATCTGGTTCCAGCTGTGAAGTCCTGACCTTCAGCAGGTAAACAGAGCGGCTGGATGAGCTCTGTAAAACATTATTATTATTATTATTAATATTATATTAATTTATTATTGTATCATTATGATATTATTTTTATTTGTATAATTATATTATTATTATGCTTATATTATTATTGAATTAGTGTTGTTACTGACGAGTGAAGCTGATTGGTTGTTAATATATAAATTTATTCGTGTTGTTACTGACGAGTGAAGCTGATTGGTTGTTAATATATAAATTTATTCGTGTTGTTACTGACGAGTGAAGCTGATTGGTTCATCCAGGTGCATCATGACGATGTCGGCCTGTTTGGTTCGTCTGTTGTATTTTCTGTTGAAGACGATCCGATCGACTCGTCGGGTCTGAACCTCTAAAGAGTTTCTGTCACTTTGAGAGTGAAGACCGAAAACAGCCGACCACGAATCAAGATGGACGTTCTTCCTGTGGAACAAAACATGGACAGAAAATAGAAAAATAAAAAAGTAAAATGTGTTTATTTACATTCAAGGTGAAAATAAGACTTAATTTGTCATCAGTTACTTTTTTCATTTAAGTAGAACTTTAAGCTTCAGTTTCAGGTTTTACTTAAATGTGTAGCATTCATAAAATACATGAAAATATAATCAAAACAGCAGTATTCCCTTTACACAGCAGCAGTTATAACACAGTTATAATGATTCTGATCATAGATATTCAGCCGGTGTTCACAACTTTATCTTCATGTGTGTAAGAGATGATATTTAAATATACTTCTTGAAAACTGCAAACCTATCTACGTCATGTTTTTATGTTTGTTAAATTCTCAGTAGCGATAACTAAATGATGCTTATTATACATATTACAAACAAAACACTTTAAAAACTCTAAAAAAATAATTTAAATTAAAGCTGCAAGCAGCATTGATCGGGCCCTCGCAACTTCACGCGCGTCGAGGGTACTGGCATGTCTCTGGTTGATGCGGCCGTGCATTTCTGTGACCATGTCACTCTGCGTGCACGAGTTAGATGATATTTCCTGCGTAGACCAGCAGCGTAGCAAGATCATGTTGCCAGGTCTTCAGCCTAAAATGTTTTGAGTGTACCTCCGATACAATCATAAATATAAGCCTGTTAAGATCATTAAGAAAATGAATGTGTGTGAATGTGCTTCAGTGTTTGTAACATAACAGACTGTCAGTTTACTGGGATGGGGTTCAACTCCCTGCAGTGTCCTGCTGATTGTATTTGGACTTACATGAAAGTTAACAAAACAGTAGTGCCATTTGCTGTTACTTGAACACTTTAATTTAACACTGTTTTCATTTTAAGTTCTTCTGTAACTTTAGATTGTTGTGTGAAGGATTCATTGTAACGTTTAACCTGATTGTCATGAAGAAGCTCTGGACAGATCATTTATACTAATGCCCACTGACATGGTTTGAAAATGCACTGTTATCTAACGTTTGCTCTCCAAGCATCTTAGTTTGCACATATTTAGATCAGAGAAGTCTTTTTCTCATGGTGTGCCCACAAATGCGATAATAATGTGTTAACTAGCCTAGTACTAATAAATATATAATATATATATTTTTATTATTTATATAAATTAATAAAGTATTGTTCTCTCACCCGTAAACACAATGTGCAGCGGTCAGCAGCCAGTCTCGATCAATCAGTGAAGCTCCACACACGTGACCCCCCTTCCACTGCAGAGAGACTATCCATGGCCACGCCCCCTTCACAGCGTCGACCCCCCCGACCACTCTGACGTCACCTGACAGGTATCAACAAACACAAACTACAGTCATGATCCGACCAACCAGAGGAGGTCAGATTCTAACTGATAGGAGTCTGTTACCTTCACCGGGTTTCCTCTCTGCTGATTGGTCCATCTCCTTCGTCTCATTAGTGACATAACGAGTACCACAAGCTAAAACAACACAGAGTCAATCCTTATAAAAAAAGTTAGTTTCACCTGAAACAGCCTTAAGATGACTTAACTTTAGTGTTTATCAGTGTACTCACGTTGGTTGTCACAGTTCAGAGAAATCACTTCTTCACTGACGCAGGTTTCACTGTAAAAACAACAATCACTCATTATCTTCTATTGGATAAACTCAGGTCTTATGACTCGACTTCACTTCCTGCATCTTATTCTGGATCTGGTTGTAATTCATTCCTGAGGTCTCGTTTTGGTTAGTTGTAGTTGTAGTTGTTGTTGTTGTTCTACTTCTAGTTGTAGTTCTGGTTGTAGTTGTAGTTTTAGTTATTTGCCTTAGGGTTCCATTGCTATCTGGTTGATATTCTAGTTGTGATTCTGGTTCTGGTTCTAGTTTAAGTTCTAGTTCTATTGTAGTTAAGGTCCAGATCTGGTCTTCAGTACCTGATACTGGTATTCAGTGTCCCGTTACTGGTGAGCGTGATGGCTGTAAACGGTGAATCTTGTGGCCGAGCCGGCAGCAGTGTGGTTTTCCCCGACCTGCAGTGTCAGGAACAACAGATAGATCTGAGTCTTTTCTTTGACCCACTAGAGAGTTACCTGTATCCCAGGTACTGACAGGTGAAGTCAGACAGGTGAGAGTTACCTGTATCCCAGGTACTGACAGGTGAAGTCAGACAGGTGAGAGTTACCTGTATCCCAGGTACTGACAGGTGAAGACAGACAGGTGAGAGTTACCTGTATCCCAGGTACTGACAGGTGAAAACAGACAGGTTAGAGTTCCAGGTGTCAGCACACACGGTGAGCAGCAAGGAAACAAGTTGAAACTGAAGACGGCTGGAACTGTTCACCTGCAACACAACTGAAACACACAGACACACGTAATTGTCTAACACACCTGTATTGTGATAATAAACATTAAGGTGAATTAATTGATCGACTTACCACAGTCGCCCTCATCGGAGGCATCGGGACAGTCGACCTCGCCGTCACATAGACCGTTGCCATCGATACAACTTCCTGTCTGACACCTGAACTGACCGACTGCGCACGCAGCTGATCACAAACAATCAACGATCAATAAACAATAATAATAATATAATAATCAATAACACAGACATGTGACCCTGAGCTCACCTGGTGACCCCAGGTTGATCCCTGAGGTGAAGTTGGCTCTGAATCCTCGGCCGTGATCTGATTCGTCCGTAAAGAACCAGACTGTCATCTGATTGGTCGATGAGAACAACTCGTGGGCGGGGCCGGCGCTGCCAGTGAGGACAGCTAGAACAAGTTACCTGTACATTGTTACCTGAAGCAGAACAGTCACCTGTATACACACACACACACCTGGGGAGGAGGAAGCTGAAAAGGATTATGGGTAAAACATAACCTCACCAAGTAAATTGGAGTTTGGCCCCGCCCCATCTCGCACCTCTACGATGTCATAGGTCGCTTCGACATCAAAGTCAAGGAAGTGGAGCTGGATGTTTCGACCCTCACCTGCATGTAGAGTCCACACACCTGCAGCAGCAAAGGATCATGGGTAAGGTGAGGCGAGTTTGAAAACATCAATTTTTCTTTGTTACAACCAGTGAAGATCAGTACAGAGATATAAGTCAAGTATTATAAGTTATTAGTAAAAGTACAGGTATTAGTACATGTAAGAAGTAGTACAACGTTTAAAGTGTACTCACACTGAGCCTCGTTTCCATAGGATTGTGGGTAATTTGGCGAGCTGAAGGTGGAGTTTGGCTCCCAAATGTCAAAGGGTCCTCCACAGTCAGCTGGACCAATCAGAGCAGAGGGAATCAATCACGTTCAATCATGTTCTTCATACGCTCACATTCTGGACCATTTTGTCAAATTGATCGTCTGTGTTGTAGTTTCATTGTATTGATATTCTTTAAGCACAACGTAGAGTGTCTCTGGATCCACGTTTTTTTTTTTTGATCGAGGCTCTTTCCTACCTGTATAGGGGTGTGGTCTGTGTCTTACCTGGTATATGGACGTGGTCTGTATCTTACCTGGTATAGGGGCGTGGTCTGTGTCTTACCTGTATAGGGCCGTGGTGTGTGTCTTACCTGGTATAGGGGGAGGGGTTGCTGGAGGAGGCACATTGGTTGGTTCTGGGGGGGCGGAGCCACAGGGCTCAGACGTCAGTGTGATGTCATCCAGAGCGATATCATTCCTCACCCCTCCTTTCTTCAGCCCTTCAAACACCACCTGCAGAGGTCAGAGGTCAAACTGATTGAGTGATTATTGATCAGCTGACTAACGATCACTTCCTGTTTGACGTCACTGACCGTGGTCTCTTTTGTCAGGTTCAGGGTCACCTGGCCGTAGTTCCAGTTGTCTCCATAGTTCCCGTCTCTTTGGAACACCACTGAAATAGCAGGTTGAGACAGAAAGACTCTGAGACGGTGGACGTCTTCACCAAACATGTGGTACCTGAGGACAGGTGTTCATTTATTGTTTAAATAACTTCTTTCTTTTCTGGCTCGTTTACTTTTTGTCTGTTTTTTTATGTTAACTTGTTAATTGTTCTGTTGTTTTCGTACAATCAGTTTTGTGACTTTCTACACAATAGTTTATTTGGGGACTTTCAGGATTTAGAGTGCATTATAGCACAGAGACAGAACTGGTGAAAATATCTCATGAACTTCTAATTGATCCGACAAATTATTATAATTAGTTTATGTTGCTGTTGTTTACCAAAAGCTCAGACACAGTGGCTGAGTGGGAGGAGTCAGAGGGAGGCTGTGGATCCTGAAGCTCTTCAGCCATTGGCCGGGACTCAGAGGAGTGACCACGTAGAAACCTGAACCAGACACACAACACCATCAAAACTACTGATGCTGCTACAAACAACAACAACAACAACAACAACAACATATAAATATATTGTTTGATGACATCATTATAAAGACTCACCTGAGCCATTACTCAGCGTGTGGTCGACACTTGGGCCGCTTAGTGGAGGGAATGTGGAGCCGCTGGTTCGAATCCAGTCTCCATCATCATCATAGTCCTGCTGCTGCCTCCAGAAACACATGCCCTGCTCAAAGGTACAGGTCAGCTTCTCCTCGTCTGAACACACACACACACACACACACACACACACACACACAGCTCAGGTACAGTACCACACTTTACAGTTATACATATTAAATATAATAATAATAAAATGTTACTGGAGAGGTCAGAGAGGTTGGCTGCTCTGTAGGTGGCGTTGAACCCTGACAGATTGTTAAAGTCATCAGAGATAAACTCCACCGTTGATTGGTCGGTCAGCAACCATACGGTCCCAAGAGGGGCGGAGCCTGAGAGCTCAGCTGTCAATCATATGAGAAGATGTGTGGTCAGGTTGTAAAAACTGATCCATAAACACACACACTGTTGTCCTCTGTGTTTGTGTGTGTGAGTGTGTGTGTGTGTGTATGTGTATGTGTATGTGTATGTATATGTGTGTTTACCTGTCAGATATTTCTCTGCGCCGATGTTTTCATAAAGTTTCAGAACGTCGATATTTTCTTCTGTTTCAAAATGGTGGAAGTTGATCTGAACAGAAAACCCTGGATCGACTCTGAAAACATTGTTTTACTGTCAACAACCCGCTTTTATTGTGAAAGTCTGTGCAGTGTGTGTGTAGGTGTGTGTGTGTGATCTCATGTTTTACCTGACGATCCAGCGACAAAAGCTGTTGTTTTTGTACGTTTCTGAGACGTCTGATGAACTGAAGGAACCAATCAGATCGCTCAGAACGAACTGTCCGTCACACGCCGTCACTATAGATAGATACATTTTGATAACTTAATAAACTAACCTTTTATACAAACTAGGTTTTATATATATACTGTATATACTGTATATATTTATATCATCATCATCTTCATCACTGACCACAGCGAGCTGCGTCTTCATCAGAGTCATCATCACAGTCATGGACTCCGTCACAGAGCTGATCGATCAGAACACACGTTGATCGATCGTCACATGACGTCTGGTGAGGAGGACACTTTACTGAGAAGTTTAATAAAACACGTATATTAGAAAACAGACTTCATACCAGAAAATACAATGAAACTCATCTCATTACAACATTTAGAATTAATGTAATTTCACAAATGTATTGATATTAATCTTTTTTCTTTCAAATCAAAGTCATCAATAAAACAAGAAAAATATAAATGTTAAGAGTAGACCCATATAATAAAATCTAAACAATATAAAATAACTAACTTATATGTTTGATTCAAAGAAATCAGATTTTCCTGATTGTGATCTTGGTCATGAATAGAAGATCTTTGACAGAACAGTTTGTGTTCTGGTTATAAGTGAAGTTTAAAAAAAACTTTGAAGTTTAAAGAAACTTCAGAGACATTAAAGGTAATTCAAAGAGAATTTAAAAATACTTGAAAGAAAGTTTAGAGAGAGTAAAAAGAGACATTTAAAGTTAGTCTGTCGAGAGTTTAAATAGAGTTCAAAGAGTTTAAATAGATTTTCTCACCTGTTGTAGGTGAGACGCTTGTCGGAGCAGCTGTTAAACGTTTCAAGATTATTTAAATATTTTAAATAGAGGTCAAAGAAATTTTAACGAAAAGTTTAAAGAGGCCTTAAAGGGAGCTTAAAACCAACATAATTAAAAAATAGTTCTAACATCGTTTTAATAGAGATCAAAGAAACTCCAGGTAAAGTTAAAATAGAGTCCAAAGAAAGTTTAAAGAGAGTTCAAAGATATTTTCTCACCTGTTGTAGGTAAGATGCTCGTTGGAGCAACTGTTGTTAAATGATTTAATTATATTTTTAAAAAGTTCAAAGAAACAAAGTTCACAAAAGTTTAAAGAGGGTTTAAAGGAGCTTAAATACAGGACCAACATAATTTAAAAAGAGTTCTAACATAATTTCATTAGAGAGCAAAGCAAGTTCAGGTAAAGTTGTTAGGAGTTCAAATCTAGTCCAAAGAAAGTTTAAAGAGTTTGAAGAACCTTTAGAGGGACATTGAAGGGAATTTAATTTAAAGTCTTAAAATAATTTGAAGAGAGTTTAATGTAAGTTCAAAGTTCAAGTTAGTTTCAAGACACATTTAAAGTTAGTTCAAAGAGAGATTTAAAATTAGTTCAAAGAGACATTTAAAATTAGTTCAAAGAGACATTTAAAATTAGTTCAAAGAGACATTTAAAATTAGTTCAAAGAGACATTGAAAGTTAGTTCAAAGAGACATTGAAAGTTAGTTTAAAGAGACATTTAAAGTTAGGTCAAAGAGACATTGAAAGTTAGGTCAAAGAGACATTTAAAGTTAGGTCAAAGAGACATTTGAAGTTAGTTCAAAGAGACATTTAAAGTTAGTTYAAAGAGACATTKAAAGTTAGTTCAAAGAGACATTGAAAGTTAGTTYMAAAGAGACRTTTKAAGTTAGTTCAAAGAGACATTTRAAGTTAGTTCAAAGAGASATTKAAAGTTAGTTCAAAGAGASATTTAAAGTTAGTTCAAAGAGASATTKAAAGTTAGTTCAGAGACAATGAAAGATAGTTTAAAGAGACATTTAAAGTTAGTTSAAAGAGACATTTRAAGTTAGTTCAGAGACAWTKAAAGTTAGTTSAAAGASACATTTAAAGTTAKTTKAAAGAGACATTTAAAGTTAGTTCAAAGAGACATTGAAAGTTAGTTCAAAGAGACATTGAAAGTTAGTTCAAAGAGACATTGAAAGTTAGTTCAAAGAGACATTGAAAGTTAGTTCAGAGACATTTAAAGTTAGTTCAGAGACATTGAAAATTAGTTCAGAGACATTGAAAATTAGTTTAAAGAGACATTTAAAGTTAGTTTAAAGAGACATTTAAAGTTAGTTCAAAGAGACATTGAAAGTTAGTTCAAAGAGACATTTAAAGTTAGTTCAAAGAGACATTTAAAGTTAGTTCAAAGAGACATTTAAAGTTAGTTCAAAGAGACATTTAAAGTTAGTTCAAAGAGACATTGAAAGTAAATCTATAGAGTTTAAATAGAGTTTAAAGATTTTAAATTGATTTTCTCACCTGTTGTAGTTGTAATGCTTGTAGGAGCAGCTGTTAAAAGTTTCAAGATTATTATGAAGATAATTTTAATAGAGTTAGTACATTTTTTAAAAACAATTTCAATACAATTTGATAGAGTTTAAATAGAGTTTAAAGAAAGTTTAAATAGATTTTCTCACCAGGTGGTGAGACAGTTGTCGGAGCAGCTGTCTCGTCTTGTTTCTCTGAAGGAACAAATATGAGTCAAAAAAAACTTATAATATGATCTAATCTGACCTCACAATGACCTCACACTCACCTGTGATATGAATGCTGTTTCTGTCGATCACCAATCCTTTATCCCCGCCCTCCTGAAGCCCCGCCCCCAGCTGCTGCTCTGTCTCCTTCACATCGATCAGCTGATTGAACCAAACATCAAAGTTCACCACCACACTGCCCCGGCTGAGGAGAAACAATCAATAAAGATTGAAACATCAACTGATCAATACATTTATCCAAACTTTAATTTGATTTCATCTGTCAGAATCATCATCTGTTTGCCTGTATGAATATAAATATAAATACCTATATATATATATATATAATATATATAAATATCTGACCTGAAGTATAAAACGTGACACGACTTGAACTCCAGTCTGATGTCACTGTGACCGAACGCCTCCGATACCTGACGACCAATCAGAAAACAGACTGACATCAGGTGACTTAACAAAGAACTCAAAGACAGATTATGACATCATTCACACCTGATGTCACTGACACCTGACGTCATCAGTTAACACAGTTACCTGTTAAAGCTAAACACCGGTGACCTCTATGGCCGACACTATAATACTATTATACTACCACAGATTTAAATGTGAATAAACTCATACCTCTGAGTCTAAGTAGCTGTTCTTCATAATGTCTAAATTGGTGTGTACTTTATAGTGTCTCTACTTAGTGTGTACTTTATAGTGTATATACTTGGTGTGTACTTTATAGTGTATGTATTGGTGCATACTTAATAGTGTATATACTTTGTGTGTACTTTCTAGTGTTTATACCTATTGTGTACTTTATAGTGTCTCTACTTAGTGTGTCCTTTCTATTTTCTATATTTAGTGTGTACTCTATAGTACAGCAGGGGTCTTCAACGTTTTTTAGGCCAAGGACCCCCAAACTGATAGAGAGATGGAGCAGGGACCCCCGACTATATATATTGTATAAAAATGTGTTTTATATTAAACTGGGCCTAGTACCATGTACAAACATACCTCTTTATTGTGCATTCAATATTAAGCTATTCAAATAATACATAGGTCCATATATTCATGTCTTTATTTTAAACATGTGCAAGGTACAGTGAGTATGGAGGCCGTGCCACTGACATCTATAAACACACCTTGTCAGCTGATACCAATATCAACATTGTCTGTCAATTGCATGATAATCATCATACAAGCTATTCAAACTGATGTTTTCATTTTAAACATGAATGTGGAAATGAAAATGAGTGATGGCCTATTAGTGCCACTGCCATGCATAAACATACCTGTTATCTTGCATACAATACTGAACTATTACAATAATGGGCACATTCATGTTTGGAAAAAATATATATAAAAAAAAAAAAGAAAAACAATTGTCTAATCATCCAAAAATTTCGCAGACCCCCTGTTGAAGACCTCTGCTCTACAGTGTGTATAATTAGTGTGTACTTTAGACTGCCTATTTTGGTGGGTACTTTATAGTATATATACTTAATGTGTACTTCCTAGTGTCTACACTTAAGGTGTACTATATTGTGTCTATATTTAGTGTGTATTTTATAGTGTCTACATTTAATGTGTACTTTTTAGTGTGTATTTCATATTGTCTAACCTATTGTGTACTTGGCTATACTCAGCATGTACTTAATGTGTATTTATTAATGTCAAATTATTACACATGCATACACTGATCAATACTAACCCTCTCCCTTTGCTGTCTTTCACAATAAAAGCTGATGATGTAAGCAGTTGCTTGATGTTAAACCTACCTGTTATTTTCAAAATAAAAGCCCATGATCTCACCAGCTGTTGGATGTCGTAAGCCAAAGATTTAAACTGCAGACTGCTGGAGTTCTTCAGCTCTTCAGAGAAAACAGCTCCTTCTATGATCGACATCCGACCGCTGAGCACTGTTGGTTCACCTCAACACACAAACAGCAGCAACACAGTGATCAGTAATATCCTCTGACACCTGATCGGTTATTAAAGATTATTAAAACCATGTTTACCTTCAGTCTCCAGGCTGATCCATGAAACTACAATCAGTCCGACACAACAGGTGAGAAGAAGTAAAGACACGATGGAGAGGAGAAACTCCAGAGACGACAGAGCTCGCTTCATACTGACAACTGTAATCAATCAATCAATCAATATATCAATCAATCAATATATCAATCAATATATCAATCAATCAATATAGCAATCAATCAATCTTCAGCTTCTTGTTAACATGAAGAATCAGACTCACCTGTGTCTCCTGCTGCAGACTTAGTTCACCTATTAATGACTGATCGTCTTTTATTGAGCTGAAGATGACTAATGGCTCATAATCAATACAGCAGATAATAATGACGATAATAATGATAATCATTAACAATGTTAGACAGTCAGAGAAGAACTGCTGACACTGTTAATACTGCAAAATATAAAACCTTTAAAATACTGCAACAACAAATAAAAACTCATATTATTTAGAATATTAAAACACAAGGATATTAGGTTAATAATAATTATATGAATAAAGTATTGACTATAATATATAACGTGTGTATTTAAATGTATAAATTATAAATTATTAAATAACTCAGTTAATAAATTAATCCGTTAACTTTATCTTTTAAATCACAATAACTTATGAAATCTTTAAACATGAATAATGTGACATTAACAAGCTTTACCTTCATGAACTACTTCCTGTTGTGTTTCTTCTTTATCAGAGTGTGAAGTCCAGCAGCAGTAAACCTGTCATCAGGTAATCTACTTCATGAGGCTCCGCCCCTAAACTCACCTGACAGGTCGGCCCTCATTATACTATATATA